ACAGATTGTCCAAATAACCAGTTCAGAACTTCGAATTTATATGATGAGTACTTCAATTCATTTGAATCCAAACCTCACACTGTTACCCTCTCAGAATCAAACTAACAAATAAACATGGATTCACTTTACAATATTCAGCAACATGAGAAAAGGCTAGACTAAACATGCATAATATAGGATTAAATACATAATAATACTGAAATGGATGAAATAGAAGAAATCAACTTGAAATACAACGTGTATCCAAAATGCTTCAAATTCAAATTGCAGATTCACATTCACACGTTGTCTATGGTTCCAAAAGATACCTGGAAAGCAAAGGAAATAGGAAAAATGAGGGATCAACAGCAATAGAGCAATATTGACAGCAATGTAACAGTGATTATAGTGCTGAAGTCAGTCCAACTTCAAACCAAGTGCTGACAGACTCAGATGCAGTTTTTAAAAACCCCAAATTCCGATTGAAAAAAATGCTTTAAACACAGACTTAGCTCAGAAACAGTTTCCAAAACCCAAATCTGAACCATCTTCAGTCATGTATCAATCAGAAATTCCCAGAAATTCGAAAGATCAGAAATTATAGCAAAGAGACTCAATGGAGTAGTAGAACCCCTTCTTTTTTTGTGTATTTTTCTACCATTTTGATTTATCTCTTGAAGTTCTAGCCATCTGTATTTTTTATACTTTGAGCTCTTCCAAAATCTCTCTTGGGTCTTTTAGTCTCTCTCGGGTCTGCCTTGCAAGGCAAGATTTGAGATGCCTTTATAGGCAAGCAATAGGGCAACTATCAGATTTTATTTTTTCAATTCTAGTCCCTTTTCTAATTCTTATTTTTGCTACTTGATCCCTCAAATTTTGGCTTGCTTGCCAAGCAAATCCCTTTTCCAGCTTCCAAGAAGCTTCTTCAGGTGGTTACCAAAGATTCCTTTAACCAATTCCCCATATTACCCCCAAAATGTCCCTTAATTACTTCAATAACCAAATGGGCTAAGCCTGACCCCAAACTTTGGGCTACTGCATTAGCAGGTTTAGCAACTTTTGGGCCTCTGACCCTCGAAGCCCAAATTGTGGTTCGAATGACCATGGGTCACAAACGGGTAAGCCCAGAGTTCAGGCATCAACAGAAAATAAATGGCAACAAAAGAAAAAGGGCCAAAGGATTGAGTCCAAAGAACTCAGATGATTCCATAAAACAAACAAACAAGTTTAATTCACCTATTAGCAATTATGAGCTAAACAAATAGATTCAATCAAAACACCTCAGCAGACTACCTAATAATTCTTAATACTAACTTATGAAAACAAAACGAAACAATTTTCATCTTTCAACAAAATCAACACGAATTAACTCAAAAACTACTGCTATGCGAAATTAAGCTACTGAGCAACAAAACAAAAGAAAAACGAAAAGAAAAAGAAAGAACAGAAATGGAGGAGAAACAGGAGAAAGTGAAGACAAACGAGGAATACGAAAGGGGATGGAAAGAATACCTCTAAAGTCAACGAAAAAAGCCGATAAACCCTAACAAACTCCAATTTGAATCGAAACAGGTATTAACCGTATGTTCTCAATGAAAACAAACGGTCAATACCCGTTTCAAGCCCTATCACTCAAGGAAACTTGAAGGCTTGACGGATTCGATTCTTCTTCGTTTTCAGATTCAAGGAAGGACCGATTTGGTGAGAATTTAGGGAGAAATGGTGGTGGATTGGGGTTAAGGGAAGGGTGATGGTTGCATGGATGAAGTTTGGGGTTGAACAGAGGTGGCGCAGCCACCGGAGAAACTGTGGCGGCGCTAGGGTTTCGGTCTTCAATTGGATATTCGAGGAGTTCCAGGGGGTTTTGAGGGTAACGGAGTAGGGATCTGGGATGGGGTGATGGAGAGGAACGTTTGGTGTTATTTTCATGGCGATTGGATGCCGGCCGCCGCCGTAGGCGATTTTCGGCCGGCGGAAGGCGGTGGCTCAGGGCGGAGTGGTGAGAGACGATCATGGGGGGTTTTGAGATAGGGGGTAGGGGTGTTCGGATAGTAATATATCAAACGACCCCCAGTTAAGAGCCATTGGATTAGATTACCTCGACGACTCAGATCTGAAGTTGATTAAACTGGGTCGTTTAGGAGGTAAAGGGACCGGGTATTTTGGGAATGGGTTTTGGGCCATTTAGGAAGGGTATTTTAGGTGGGCTTGGACGGGTTTCAGGGGAAGGGATGGTTTGGGCCTGGAAAAATAACCTGAAATGGCCCAAACAAATGATCAACCATTTTGCTTTTCATTTTCTTTTCTTTTTCTCTTTTTTTTTTCATTTTCAGATTTTGTTAAATACAAAAATAAAAACCTGACTTATCCCTAAAACAAAATTAATACTAATTGCATTTTCCAAAATTAACTAAGTCCTAAATTAAAGAAAACTATAAAATTCGAATTTAAAAGGCCAAAAATGCAAAATAAACTATTTTTTGTTATTTTCTTTCATTTTTGCCACAATTGATTAACTAATTAACCTAAAAATATAAAACAGGATCCTAAATGCAAATGCACATATCTTTTTGTATTTTTCACCAATTAAAATGCACACACAAAAATGCAAACAATTAACAGAAATGCCACGAAAATCCACAAAATTGCAAACACTGAAAGAAATTATTTTGTTTTGAATTTATGGGAGTAATTCATATAGGAAAAAAATCACGTGCTCACAATTGTGATCCCCTTTATATAATAGGGAAACCCTAAATAAGGTACATTTCCATTTACAGTAAAGAATCTTATTGGGACAGCTGTCTAACCGCCTAGTACGGATTCGTACAAATCTATTCCGGAATTTACTCCATGATCTTAGGGACGTGGCAGGAATCTTGCTCATTCTATTACAAATCTGTAACGGCATTATCCCGGGGTTGAGCATACTCGGCATCGATATTCATCGTACTTCGATCCTCGGGCATTTCACTCTGTCTTCGAGCTCGAGTCTGGTCCATCGAGCTCGAACTCGACCTTACCTGAACTCGGGCTTAGGGCGATCCCTCGAGCACGGGAAATCGGGCATACCTGATTTCGACCGTATACAAGATTTTTGAAATTTAGGTTGAAATAGAGTTGAACTAGCGAAGAAGACTAATTTGTATTATATACTAAAATAACATACTATATACCATTTTGGTATATAATATTTAATTCAATAGTGTATAATTTATTGCACAGTATACTATTATAGTATATGATATAATGTAAAAATACATTTAAAATTTGATATTTTTTTAATTTTCAAAAAAAAATTCAACGGGTCCTTTTTAAATTTTCTAACAGAGTTCTCGATATCATATACCCTGTCAGTATATGACATATAGCATGTGGGTATCATACTATACTTCAACTGCTACTAATATATTATTTTTTATATACTATATGCTAAAATAAGTTATTTTCTAATAATTAATATATAAAATATACAAATAATAAAACAAACAAAAATAAAGGAGCAAAAAATGTGTGCAGGATTAGATTATGAAAAAAAAATAATTTGAAATAATAACAAATAAAACTAAAAAGAAAAAGAAAGAAAAAGAAAGAAAAAAAGAGAAGAGAAAACAGTTATAATGTATATGTCGTCCTAATAATTGAATTAAAAAATAAAATAAGAAGAAAAGACAAAATGTATATTATACCAGTTATATTAAAAAATTATGAACTAATATTTACTATATTAGCTATCTTTTCTTATTGTATAAACAAAGAAGAAATAAAAAAGAGCAAAAAAAATAATGAAATTAGATTATGAAGAGAAAAATAGAAGTAAAGAAAAAATAAGCTAAAAGAAATTAGAAAAGGAACAAGAAATAAAGAAAATAAATAAAAGGAAAAAAGAAAAAGAAAAATAAAAAAATAAAGAAGGATCCAAAATTGAGTGTGAAATTAAATTATGGTAAAAATAATACTGTGATTTGGGCAAAAATAAATGACCAAAAGGGAGAAAAAAAAATGAGAAGAAAACTAAAAAAAAGAGAAGGAGAAAAGAAATAAAAGAAGGAAAAAGAAAAGAAGTAGAGAAATAAAAAACAAAAGAGAAAAAAGAGAAAATTACCCACAAAAGCTGCTATGGGTAAGAAAAATAATTAGTTTGATGGGTAGAAAAGTAAATGGATAGACAAAGATAAATAGTTCGGGTTTGAATCTCACCTTATAGTCCTTTCTTCTATTTTCCCTTTTAAAAAAAAAAAAAAGAACCTACTTTATGATTAAACCGACAACACCACTTTGAAGATGCCATCTTGTTTACAAGAAAATTTCCAATTCCATTTCACTCGCACATCAAAATAACCCATTAGAAGAAGAGGCAAAAAATGCCATTAATTATTTTCAACCATACAAAGCAATACTTATTCGACCTATCAATTGCATCTAGAAAAATTACCCATACCTTTCCTTTAAAGAGAAGCTTTGAACAAAGTAAGCAAGGATGAGCGTCAAACTTTAGTAGTCAATGTTCCATTCGTCAAAGTTAAAGGTGGCAAAATGGTTAAAAACATAATTATTCGTTCATATTATCCATTAAAAAATGGGTTGGATAATAAACTTTTTAGCAACGGGTCGAATATGAATAAGAATCATATTATCTATTTAGAAAATAAATAATCCGATGGGTAACTAATGGGTTAACTTTTACATTTGTAAAGACTTAAATTGAAGATTCCTCAAGTTTGGAAGAATAGAAATTCTCCCAAAAATGATCATATTCGGGAAGTCATCGATAATATGGATTATCCGCCGAATAACCCTTTTTTTATCCGTATTAAATATGGGTTGGACCAGATAATTTACCCGTTTTTTAAGTTATACATTTTCGACCCGTCCATATCCAACCCGACCCGCCCGTTTGCCGCCCCTAATTAAAGTTAATACGAATTCTTGTGAGCAATTGATATGTGAAAGTTCTTTTTGACATTATTCGTGTATATACAGGAATTAAAAAAACAAACAAACAATACTTGAGAAACCAATTTCGCCAACTGAAAATTAACATGTTCAATGAAAAAACACTTGTATGTTATATATTTGCTATTTACATGAAGCAAGAGAGAATATGTTCTAGCCCCTCTTAGATTAAGAAAACAAAATTGGCTGAAATATTTTTCCATATGAAATGTGAAACATTTCGCTTAATCTCGTATTCAAGCTATGTAAGTTGGTAATTAAAGAACGTTATAACAAAACCAAAAAAAAGAAGTAACCTAAATATTAATATCAGAATTACTTGCTATATTTGTGGAGAAAAAGTAAAAAATAATATATGCATCATTAGCTCAGACAGCGGCAAGGCCATTAATACTGTATCTTGGTCTTGTTGTATCTAGTGATAGATTTTCTTCTACGGCCTTCCTCTTGTTATTATTATTATTGGCTTGTAATTTCTGCTGTTGATTGTGTTCTGTATTTGATTCTGTTTGTGGCTGTTGTACTTCTTCTGATGATATTTCTATTTTTTCTTCTGTGACAATTTTCTCAGCTTCTTGTTGCTGGCTTTTACTTCTGGTTTTCATCATATGAGGTCTAAGTTTATTAACATCTGATAATCTCACTGGCTTCAAGAAAAATTCTTCTGCCCCTTCTTCTAAACATCTGTAAATTAATACAAAAATAAATTATTTTTCCATCAACATACAGGAAGATAAAATTTATTTATTTATTTATTACTCCAAAAGAGATCAAAATTTTCTCATTTCTCACCTATTGATTCTTGAAGGAACATTTTCAGATGACATAATGACTACAGGTATGTTTCTCAGAGATGAAGATTCCTGTCATAGGAAAAAAATAAAGCAAACTTTAAATTACCAAAATTAAACACAAGATCTAAATACAAAGTTAAAATTGGGTTTTTAAACTGTAATTTGGAAGAAAAAGTACCTTAATTTTTTTGAGCAAATCATAGCCTGTCATCCCAGGCATACAATAATCTGTTATAATAAGATTAATTTCAGCTTCTTGATGATTGTCAAGAGAGACACAAGACTGAGTTGAGTGATTCTTGTCATCTTCTTGTAAACCCAAAAATTCTAAAGCTTTACTTCCAGAATCAACAGTTGTAACTACATAAACAAAACACAAAATACCAACAACAAAAAAATCAGTACCAAAACAAAATAAACCATAAATTAAATACACTTCAAAAAATTAAAATGAAGAAAGTACCTTGACAAGATGAAGTTTTTAATAGCCTTTCAATGAGTTTTCTGTCTATTATGCTATCATCAACAGCTAAAACATGAAACTGAGATTCTGCTGCTGCCATTCCCATTGTTCCAATTTTTCCAAATTATTATAGAGAAAAAAAAAGAACAGATCTTTGAAATATGAGAAGAAAAAAAAGTTGTTGTTTTTTTTTTTGATGGGGTTCTTGTTTTTTGCCTTACTTTAAAATGGTGATGAGTTTGGCTTTGTAAAGAAGTAAAAAAAACGCAACAAAATCTCCACAACTCACAAAGCAAGATCTGACCAAATCTTTCCAAATTTCTAAGCTGATTTTGAATTATAAGGCAAGCAATGGGAAAGTCTAATAAAAAAACAAAAAGGGAAAATAATATAAAAGAAATCAGATTTGTAATCTTTTTACAAATCTAGAACATGGGGGTTGGCTACTTATAATATTGTATTGGTTGATGAAGATAATGATTCTTGGGAGGTTGAAGAAAAATACATATAGCTACACTCACTATAAATATTATAGGGAAGAAAAGTATTGAGGATTTAGAAAGGTAAAAAGGAAAGTAGGGGTCGGCTGTTTTGGAAGGAGGAGGGAGCAGGGTGGGTGGGTGTGTACGATGTTGGACCCACAAAATCCACCCAAAAGATACAGGTGATGTCAGTAGTGATACTTTTTTCCTGGTGTGAAATCTTGTGCGATTACCATATCTTGAGCAGGTGGAAGGTGGTGCAAATATGCAATTTTTTTCAGTCTTTTATTGTAGTACTTTTCTGTCAATTTATGTGAATGCGTTAAAGATTTCGAGACAAACAAATTGCGTATTTAATCGTAATTTTATATATGTTTTTTAAATAATTATTATAATTTATAATATTTTCTATGTAGCTTCTAAATATAAAAATTTTATTATGAAAAATTAAAAAAAATCTACTATTTTTAATACCCTTCAATCTTAATTAGAAATTTTAGATTCGAACCCAAAAAATAATCCCAATACAAAGCGCTTTCTTATATGAACACTGAATATCTAGTGGGAAACTAAAAAACAACATATTAAATATTAGAATAAAGAATTTAATTATAAGTAGTGGTATAGTTAAAATATTTATACAATAATTTTACTTTTGAGGTAAATATAAATAAATATGTGGTTCATGACCAATAAAAAAGTAAAATTAAATAAACTAAAACTTTAGTGCGTACACATCTTGTGGCCAAGCTTTTCAATTCGATGTATTCCCATTAATATATAGTTCTTCTTATCCGTTGTTTTTTTGGTTTCCCACCCGTGTTCGGTAGTCGCATTGGAGCCCGATTATATTCGGCTTCGCACCGAGTAGGGCCCCGTTCGGGAAGGGGAGGGTTGGACTTTAAGCATTGGGCTTTAAAGACTTTGAGCATTGGGCTTTAAAGACTAAGAGTGTGAATTGGGAAATGGTGGGAAATAAAATGGAGGGAAATGAAAATTAGAATCAAGTGAGCTTTTGTCATGAACTTTGTATCACATTGGTGAAAGACAACTACACTTGTGTGTATAAATATAGGATCACTTCTTAAAGATCTTAAAAGGAGTTGAAGAGAATGAACCCTCGCGCCGTCATCGTTGCTCGCTCGGCTCGGCTTTGGCTTTGGCTTTGGCAAATGATCGATAAGATTATTTTTTGGACAAAAATTTATTTAATTAATTATTTAATAATTAATTAAATGCCAGTCAGTCCATTAACGGAATTAACTGGAATCCAAAAAAAAAAACGCTGCCTCGTTGAGCCGTTCAACTCCTGCTCATGCTATGGCACCAGCAGAAAAACCCGGAAAGCTTTCCGGTATTGACTTCAAAAGTTGGCAAATGAAGATGCTCTTCTATCTTACTATGTTGAGTTAGCAGCGATTCATCAAGGAGGATCCTCCGGTCGTGGCTGAAGGTACACCGGATGACGAACGATTTGTTGTAACTGAAGCATGGAAAAATTCTGATTTCTTGTGCAAAAACTACATTTTGAGTTGTTTGGAAGATAGCTTGTACAATGTCTATAGTGTCATGGAAACTTCAAAAGCTGTTCTCGGGCATGACTTGCCCCGTGTTATGCATTATGACTAATGTAGATCGTTGGTTTTGGATTTCAGGAAGAATTGGAATGAATTTGAAAGAACAGTTTCAGTTGAAAGCTTTGAATTGAAAGGTTTGACCGAGAGTTGACTTATCTGTATATGAGCTCGGATCGGAGTTTTTACGATTTGGTTAGCTTCGTTAGATGATTTGTGACTTAGGAGTGTGATCGGAAGTGATTTTGGAGGTCCGGTGTAGAATTAGGCTTCAATTGGCGAAGTTAGTATTTTGGCGAATTCCGGTTGATAGGTGAGATTTTGATCCGAGGGTCGGAATGGAATTCCGAGAGTTTCTGTAGCTTCGTTAAGTGATTTGGGATGTGTGTGTAAAGTTTCAGGTCATTCGGACGTCGTTTGGTTGGGTTTTTGATCGAATGCGAGTTTCGGGAGTTTTAAAAGAACTTAGGCTTGAATCCGATGTAAATTGATGATTTTGGTGTTGTTTGTGGTGTTTTGATGATTGGATCAAGTTTGAATGATGTTTTAGGATGGGTTGGCACTTTTGGTTGAGGTCCCGGGGGCCTCGAGGTGATTTCGGATGGCCATCGGGGTGAATTTTGGACTTGTGGCATTCCTGAAGTTGTTGGTATCTGGTATTTCCGCATCTGCGGAAAAGGGGCCGCAGATGCGGTTCCCCAGATGCGGTGATGGGGTCGCAGATGCTAGTTTCCTTAAGGAGTTGCCTTTCCGCAGATGCAAGCTTGGAGCCGCATCTGCGATGCCGCAGATGCGGCGTGTGGACCGCAGAAACGGATAAGGGCCATTGGGTGTTCCGCAAAAGCGCGCAGGTGTCCGCAGATGCGGTGTCCGAAGAAGCGGATTTAGACCGCAAAAGCGGTCCTGAGCGCAATAGTATATTTCCGCAGAAGCGGAGGAAATACCGCAGAAGCGGTAACCGCATATGCGGTACAGTGATCGCAGATGCGAAAAGGGCTGGACAGAAAGGGTTTTAAAGGTTCATTTTGTTCCGCGAGCTAAGGCATTTTTCCACCATTTTTGAGCAAACTTAAGAGCTTTTGGACGGGAATTGAAGGTGATTTCGACTGGGTGTGATTGGAGGTGAGATTCTATGACCTAAATACATGATTTAATGGTAGAATTAACATAGAAATTTATGAAAATTCATCAAAAAGGGGGAAAAGCTAGGGCTTGGAAGTTGATATTTCAAAGTGGGATTTGATGGGCCATTTAGGCTCGGATTTGGGAGTTTTGGTATGTATAGACTCGTGGCGAGATAAGGAATCCGATGATGTTAAATTTTCTGATTTTCGAGAAGTGGGTCCGGGGCTCGGGTTTTGCAAATTTCGTGAATTTCGATATTTTTCGAGTCTTTTCGATTGGGTTATGTTCCCTTAGCCTATTGTAACGTATTCGTTGTGGTTTTGATCAGATTCGACGCGCGAGGAAGTCGATTTGCGAGGCAAGGGCATAGCGAGCTAGGATTTTGGCCGGCTTGAGGTGAGTAATGATTGTAAATGATATCCTGAGGGTTTGAAACCCCGAATTTGCACACCGTAGTGCTACATTGAGGTGACTTGCACGCCGGATAGCGAGCGTGGGGTAGAGCACCGTTGGGGATTGTGACTTGGTCCGTCCCGATTGATGATTTTACCGCGTATTTGACTGAAATTTATTTGTTATTATCATGATTTGGGCTGATTGCCATATTTGGGCTTCGTGCTAATTATTTGAACCCTTCGGGGATTTTATCACTGTTTCCTCACTGTTTTGACGTATTATTTGAACTCAATCCTGTTGATATTTACAGTTTTACAAACTCAACCAATTTTACTCAGATTTGAAACTTAAATGATATTTCTAAATGATATTTCTAAATGATATTTTGGGCTGAGAGCTACTGTTTACAAATGCCCGAGGGGCTTGTGATGATTTTCGGACTGAGTGAGGCCGAGGGCCATATGTGAGGATATGCTGAGTGATATGAGGCCGAGGGCCTGAGATACTTTATGTGCCACGAGGTGGCTTGAGTGACTTGAGGAGGCTTTCAGGCCTTATGAGTGATGTGAGGAGGCTTTCAGGCCTTATGAGTGATGTGAGGAGGCTTTCAGGCCTTGTGAGTGATGTGAGGAGGCTTTCAGGCCTTATGACTGATGTGAGGAGGCTTTCAGGCCTCGTGTGTGATGTGAGAAGGCTTTCAGGCCTTATTTTATATGCCACGAGGTGGCTTAATATTGCGCTTGGGCCGTAAGGGGCCCCTCCCGGAGTCTGCACACCCCCAGTGAGCGCCCTCGACGATATATGGATCGGGCTGCACGCCGCAGCGAGTTGTGGATCGGGCTGCACGCTGCAGCGGTTACTATATGATACTGTTCTGAGAGTGATCTGAGAGAGAGAGCCCGAGGGGCTGAGAGTGTTTCTGAGATTTAAACTGAGCCAAGAGATTTCCAAAGATTTCACAGCTTCACTGTTTTTTTCTCAAAGGATTGTACCATGTTTCTATACAACATGTTGGTTGCTTTACGTGATTTCTTACTGCTCAGTTGTTATTTACCTTTATTACTCACTGAGTTGGAGTACTCACTTTACTCCCTACACCTCGTGTGCATATGCAGGTATCTATTCACCCGGTAGCGGGTTTTGGGCCGATCAGAGGCAGAGTTATATGAGTTAAGGAGGTGACTGTCAGCGTTCGCAGCACCATGTCTCTCTCTTTTGTTCATTATTCCGGTTTTGTACATTTTAGACCCTGTAGTGGATTTACATTCTGATAGATGCTCGTGACTTGTGACACCCCGGTTAGGGCTGTGTTGGGTTGGCTTTCCGCTGATTAATACTATTAAGTCATATTTACGTTGTTTATTTATGTTTAACTATTTTTGAAAAAGACGAGTGGGTTAGTTGGCTAGCCTCGTCTTCACGAGAGGCGCCATCACGACCAGTGCGGGGTTTGGGTCGTGACAAAAGCGTTATGGAATGCGCTTGAGAAGAAGTACAAGGCTGAGGATGCCGGACTTAAGAAGTTCGTGGCTGCAAGGTTTTTGGATTTCAAGATGGTTGACACTAGGTCGGTCATAACTCAAGTCCAAGAATTACAAGTCATTGTGCATGACCTCCATGCTGAAGGTATGACCCGAATCAATAATTTTGTTAATAAGATTTATCTTGTTATTAATTATGAATTTATTATTGAAGGTATGGTCATAAATGAGGCATTTCAAGTCACCGCTTTCATTGAGAAGTTACCTCCGTTGTGGAAGGACTTTAACAACTATCTAAAACACAAGCGTAAGGAGATGACACTTGAAGATTTGATTGTTTGGTTGAGGATAGAAGAAGATAACAAAAATGCTGAAAAGAAGTCACGTGGAAACTCGACAATAATAAGGGCTAATATTGTTGAGGAGGCGCCACAAAATAAGAAGAGAAAGAAGGCT